TGAAAATTAAATATTTTCTGTTTAATTATTATTATTATAAATTTACTGTAATTTTTAAAAAAAAAAAAAAAAAAAAAAAAAGCACCATTATTTTTATAGCCATCTAAACAATAATAATAAAATGGTGTTTACTCCAAAAATTATTTCTTGTATAATTTCTCGTTTTATAATTTTTAAACAAATGTATGAATCAATAAATAATACATTAATAAACAATAAAAATAATAATATTTTAAATATATTTCGTGATTGTTTGCACAAAAAAAAAGAAAAAAATTTAATTTTTCAGTAAAGTAAATTTAAAATTAAAATTTTAACGATCATGCACTACGTAGGACAAGTAAAGTTTACGGATTTGAGTTTCAAATTGACTGATAGAAAAAAGGCTAATGTAGAATAATATTTTACAAGCCAAAAAAACAATTTTTTTAAATTTTAATTAATTGTAAAATTTAATTAAAATTCTATTTCGCAATTTAAATTAATAAATATATAATGGAATTTTTTAAAGTCGTTTCTTAGGAAACCCCTCATGCATGGTTGGTAATATCTAAACAAAATGGCGGTAAGTAGCAATGTATTTCTATTTCAATATTATAAAATAAAAATTTTTTATTATTAAAGGTTGATTTTCTATATAAATCTAAGAACTTTATTTATTTTTTCTTAAGTACTTTAAAATTTAATAAGTTTTGTTTTATAATTTTATCGTCTTTTTAATTGTTTGAGTGATTGCCTGTTTCTTGATATGTTTGGTTACCGGTATTGTTTTTATTGTTTTTCGTTATAAAGCAATTTAAAATGCTTAATTTTATTGTGTTTATTGAGGGTTTTTTTTTTTTTTTTATAGGGAATCGCGGCAGCGAAAATTCAAGAAGTTCGGGAGATTACTCATATAGAGAGGATCGGTGCCCATTCTCATATTCGCGGGCTCGGTCTAGATGATACTCTTGAACCAAGACAAGTTTCCCAGGGCATGGTGGGCCAAAAATCGGCCCGCCGAGCAGCTGGTATAGTTTTAGAAATGATCAAAGATGGTAAAATTGCTGGAAGAGCTGTTCTTCTTGCAGGGCAACCAGGAACTGGAAAAACAGCTATTGCCATGGCTGTTGCTCAAGCTTTAGGTGCCGATACACCATTTACAAGCATGTCAGGATCAGAAATTTATAGTTTAGAAATGAATAAAACTGAAGCTTTGACTCAAGCCATTAGAAAAAGTATTGGTGTGAGAATCAGGTAGGTTTTCATAATCAAAACTCGGCTCATGATAGTTTAATAAAGTAAAATAAATAAAAATTTATTAACAGAGAAGAAACTGAAATGATCGAGGGAGAAGTTGTGGAAGTTCAAATTGATCGTCCAGCTTCTGGTGTGGGTGCCAAAGTTGGAAAATTGACATTAAAAACTACAGAAATGGAAACAATATATGATCTTGGAACTAAAATGATTGAATCTTTACTAAAAGAAAAAGTAAGTTTAAATTTAAGTTTGAATTATTTAAAATTTAAAATATATAATATTAAATTCAAAAAATTTTTATTTAAAATTTACTTTAGGTTCAAGCTGGTGATGTTATCGCCATAGACAAGGCCACAGGTAAAATAAGTAGACTCGGAAGATCTTTTGCCAGAGCTAGAGATTATGATGCTACTGGTCCACAAACTAGATATGTTCAGTGCCCAGAAGGAGAAATTCAAAAAAGAAAAGAAGTTAGTTTGTTTAATTGTATATTGAACATAAATTATTTGAAATTGTCCATTTATAATTATTTTTATTTAGGTTGTTCACACGGTAACTTTACACGAAGTAGATGTGATAAACAGCAGGACACATGGATTTTTAGCTCTTTTTTCCGGTGATACTGGAGAAATTAAAATGGAAGTGAGAGAACAAATTAATGCAAAAGTTACTGAATGGAGAGAAGAAGGAAAAGCTGAAATTGTACCTGGAGTTTTATTTATTGATGAAGTATTTAATTTTTTTACATATAATACATACAATTAATTAAAAAGTGTACTCGAGTTTAATTTGTGATTAAATCTTTTTCGCTCCTAGGTACACATGTTGGACATTGAGTGTTTTTCATTTTTAAATAGAGCACTGGAAAATGAAATGGCTCCAATTGTAATTATGGCTACCAACAGAGGAATTACAAGAATCAGAGGTACAAATTATAATTCTCCTCACGGAATCCCAATTGATCTTCTAGACAGAATGATGATAGTACCTACAACTCCTTATCAAGAAAAAGAGTTGAAAGAAATTTTAAAAATTAGGTAACAATTGTTTTTTTTTTTTGGTTCGAATACCATTATACTTGAAAACTCATCAATAAAACATTAGCTTTTTACTTTTTTAACAGGTGTGAAGAAGAAGACTGTGAAATATCCGAAGATGCTCTTCTTGTTTTAACAAGAGTTGCCGTTGATACTTCCTTACGTTATGCTATACAACTTATCACTACTGCAAATTTAGTGAGCAAAAAACGAAGGGGAACCCAAGTGGAAATTGAAGACATAAAAAAAGTATATTCTCTCTTTTTAGATGAAATGAGATCTTCCCAATTCTTAAAAGAATATCAAATGGAGTTCATGTTTAACATAAAAGGTAAAAAATTTTATTTATGCCAATTAAATTTTTTAAAATATTTTTAATGTATCCTTTTCTTGCAGAGGAAGAGCAAATGGATGTTTCAGTCGGATAAAAGTATATTCTTCCATTTTAATTAAATTTTATTCACAATTATTTTTTAATATTACCTTACATAATTTCACTAAAACACATGCAATTATTTCCTCATGTTTTCATTTTACTTTTTCCAGTTTAAAACAACAGTTTAATATTAAATTTTTTTAATTAAATAAAATATATTTTTATTCACTGTTTTATTTAGAAAAGTCATTTTAATTTTGAATCCTGCCAATGTACATAAAGTACATGTAAAAAATTTACAATAATATTAATTACAGCTAATAAGTATTATTACATAAAATTTAAACAAAATGTATTGAATTCACAAATGCTGATAATTTAATATCTTTTTATAAAGTGAAAGTTGAAATTAATTGATAAAAATCAATAAAAATGTAAAAAATATTACTTTTATTGTTTGGTAATAAAAAATTAAATAAAGCCATTTATTTTTTTTTTAATTACCACTTTATCAAGTCACTTAGGCATCGTAAATAACACAATTACAATAAATGTGTAGATGTTTTACATGCTAGTATTTAATAGGTGGAAGTTGCGTTGGAAGAATACCAAACCTTTTTTTTATTAAAATTCTTTCTTTTGAATATTTATCTTCAGGTGAGAATTTAGCGGGATGAGCTGATGATGTTGGTCGTCCATTAGGATCAACCTGAAACAAGGTAAGTAAAATAAGTGAAATGTTTTTTTTTTTTTTAAATTTTAAAAATTAATTATTGATATCGTTAACGTACTTTACTAAATGTGTACACACGTTCGCCTTTTTCATCCAAATAATAACGTAAATACATTTTCTCGATTTACAATATTCAGCACGATTCAGCACGTGTATTTAGTTTTTTTCGGGGCCCTTTTTTAGTATACAAGATATACTTCCGTTGTAACGAATTTTTAGAAATGTCTCGAATACTGAAAGTATAAGTTTGTTATTTTCTCAAATTAAACTGAAAAATAAAATATTTTGCCTTTAAATATTATTATTTTTCGTTTAATTAAAACAAATTTAAAAATTGAAAGTGAATCTAAAAGTGTAATTTAGAAAAAAGGTTAAGAAAAAGCAATGAGTAAAATAAGATATTATTTATAAAGTCTAGTCGCCATTTTGACCCGCTTTTTTAAAATATAAATTTTTGATGCAAGTTGTAACAAGATATTTAAAGTAAGTATAAAAATCATCGATTAAACGCACAAATAATTTTATTATTGATTTGCTAAATTCAAATATTTTAATTAAAATATTTATTGTCGTAGGTAAATTAAACATTTTTCAATTGGGAGTTATTTCTTTTTACCAAGTTACAAAAAAATTTTTTTGTTTTTTGACTCATTTCAAACGCAGTATGCACGACTCTTGTTTTTATCTGTATTTTTTTTTTTTATCTTTAATCACAAAAAGTCAATAAGAATTCTTAATCTAAAAAGGTGTGTCATTCTTATCGGTGCAAAATAATACTTTGAGAATTTCATGTTTTAAAATGTTTGTTTTAAATTGAATTTATTTAAAAAAAAATATTTTATTTCTAGATTTGAAAAAAAAAAAAAAAAATGTTGACATGGGGTAAGTGTTGTTACTATTAATATCATATATAAAAATGAAGTTTTGTGTAGATTTAAGTCGATCGCAACATCTGAAATTAATTACGGTTCTTTTTTTTTTGTTGCAGAATAACAATAATTATTTTATTAAATTTAATCATAACGTTAGTACGATGTGACATTTGTTTCGTATGTAAATGTTTTTTTGTCAACGTTCAACCGACCGAACCAGAAATAGAAGAAAATGTACAATTAATATCATTTAAATATAAAATAGAAAATGTCGAATCGTATAATCCAAATGCAACATACGAAAATTTAAAAAAATTTTTCTACGTCGATTGTTCCAGTGATTCAAACGTCGGTCAAATAAATAATTTAAATTGGCCAAATTTAAAAATATTAGGAATATTTGGAAATTTTAAAAAGAGCAAATGGAAAAAATTAGAATTTTTCCCAGATGATATAAAAAAACAAATGACTGTTTTATCACTTTCAAATAATTTAATATCTGAAATAGAACCTCATGAATTAGATGATTTTAATAATGTTAAAATGTTAAATTTAAGCAATAATCAAATAACTACAATTAAAAAATCAACTTTTACAAAATTAAATTTATTACAAATTTTAGATTTATCTGAAAATAATATAAAGGAAATTGATGATTGGGCTTTTTACGGAACTTTTTTTTTAAAATATTTAAATTTATCGAGTAATTCATTGAAATTTATAAATTCTGATATTTTTCGCGGATTGACAAATCTTTCTGTATTGGATTTATCATCGAATGAAATATTTAAACTCCCACAAGATTTTGGAAATTCATTGCCGGAATTAAAAATATTAACAATAAAAAATAACGAACTCACTAAAGTACCTGCTTTGCCTCTCGCCTTGAAAAAACTCGATTTGAGTAATAATAATTTTTTGGGATTACAATTGGCACATTCGAAATTGGAAGTATTAAATGTTGCTTTTAACGAAATAATTAGTTTTTCAGAAACGAGCGTTCCAAGTTTAAAGGTAAATTTTTTTTTCTTTCAAATTTTAAATAATTTCATGTTATTTAAAATATAAACGTATTTTTTATCGCATTGCAGATTCTAAAAGCCGGTCATAATAATTTAACGGATAATTTGAATTTGGTTAGTCCAAACGTTTTGACATTAGATTTGTCACATAATAAATTTACAAACGTACCTAAAGACATAACATCGACCAATTACAAATTATTACAAAAACTTTTATTAAATGGAAATCCAATAATAAATTTAAATTTTTCCGAGGATGCCAAACCGTTTGAATATCTTCAAATAATTGATTTATCAAATTGTTCTATATCAAAACTTGATAAAAATTTATTTTCCAAGTAAGTTAAAACTCAATTTTGTCTTTATTTTTCCACGATTTTATTAAATTTCGTTATTAATTAACGAAAGAAAATCAATCCATAAATAATAAAAAGTTTTTTTTTTTTTTTCAACAGAATAATTTTAAAAAAAGACATAATTTGTTCAAAAGAAAATGGATTATTTATAAATTTATCTCACAATTTAATTAATGACATTGAAGAAGAGGTTTTTACGGATATTCCTGTATGTTCTGTAAGTTCATTTATAATTTTTGTAATTTATATAAAATAAGAAAAATCTGTCTCGAATGATGATTTTTAATTGAATATTTTTTTTTTTTAGGTTGATTTGAGCCATAACAAATTGAAAAAATTAAAAAAAAACACATTCGAATGGAAAGAAATGATTTATTTTAACGTACAACATAATCCGTGGCATTGCAATTGTGACATACAATGGATGCTTGATGATTTTGTTGTTTTCATGTATGTTCATCATCCTAAACTCTTGTTAGAATTAAGGTACATTTTTTTTTATCGTTATTCACATTAATAAAAAACGTTTAAAAATTGATAAGAATTAAAATTAATATATATTTAAATAAATTTCAAGATGTTCCACTCCTCTGAGATACAATTCAAAAAGATTTGTTTTTTGGTATAATAAAACAACCGATCAACCATTTTGCAATTCAGGACCATCGACTATTTATTTTGATATAAACGGAGGGAAAAAAATCGAGGTTATTAAATCGGGTTATTAATTAACTTAATTATTTTTATTCAAAAACTAATGGAATTAAAATTTTTTATTTAGATTTGGACTGCCAGTGCGATTATTTGCGTTATTTTAGGATGTTTCATCGGATTATTAATTATTGTCATTGTTACATTGTTGTGTATGAGATCATCGCAGAAAAAAAAAAGAAAAAAAAATAAAAAAACTAAAAAGTTTACCGATTACAAACCAATACAAAATATAAAAAATGGCGAAATACAGATTAAAGACAATGCAGTTTAAGATTTAACTTATTAGTGTAAGTTTATTTATGATAAAGGTATTTACCTCTTAAAAATGATTAATTAGTTATGAATTCATTCACGTTAATATAGTTTAATAAATAATGATTAATTAAAAAAAAAAAAAAACGAAAAATTTCAGATGTGTTTAGAAATCCAAATAAATTTCATTAAAAAAAGGTAGTACAATATAATTTTAAATCTAGTCACGATATCAGTGTTATGCACTTTATCATTTAATTACTAAATACCCATTGACTAAACAGCAGCAACAGCAGCAGCTAAAAAAGTAACCAAGAAAAAATTAAAACACAATAAAAACTAAAATTATCAAGCATTGAAAATATCGTTGACAAAATACAAGGAAAATTGAGTTTGACCTACATTTTAAAAGAAAGATTTTAAAATAATGAAACAAAACGTAAGGGAAATTTGATTTGTGAAAAACATTAAATTGATTGAAATATAAGCCACCGTAAAAAAAAAAAAAAACAAAATTGTTTTTCATTCATTTAAAATACTATCTTTATGTTGATAAAATTTTTGTTTTGTAAAGCTTGAACTACCATAATAAGTAAAATAAAAACAAAAAAATCTGACGTAGCTTTTTTTTTTTTTTTATCGCAGTTACAATTATATGAATTTTGCTAGATTTGCAAAAAAAAAATTATGTTTTCATTTTAAAAAAAATGCACTAAAACATTTACTCCATAATTTACCGTTAAACGAATTTTTTCTTTTTTTTTTGCTTACAATGTTTTAAATAAAAAAAAATATAAAATAGAACCAACGAACCTTTTTTTTTTTTTAAATTACTTATCAAAAAGTTATTATTAATTACAGATTTTCCATAATTATAATTTATAAAATATTTATTCGTAGAGAAAAAAAAAACCATTCTTTAAAATTTTTATATTTGCAAAAATATTAAAGGAAAAATAAAATTAAAAAAAAAAAAAAAAAGACAAGAAAAACAATACGCCATTTATTTTTTGAATTCGTACAAGTAAAACGTTCTTTAAAACAAGGCGGTGAAAAAAAAAAAAAAACCGGTCAAGTTGGGTTTTCCAGTTTCAGTGAGTTTAATCGTTTTGAGTTTTATTTTCCAATTTGGGTGAGTTTAATAGTTTTAAGTTTTATTTTTCCAGTTTCGATAAGTTTAAACGTTTTGTCAAAATTTATTTCAAATGTGAAGTTTAAGAGAGAAAAAGAAAAATTAGTTTCAGGTATGTTAAACGATTGAATATTTAAGATCAAGATGGCGTCCTTTCAAAAAAAAATTAGTTGATTATTAGAATACCTTTTCCCTTTTTTACTTTAAAAGGTTGAACTTCTATTTTTTTTTTTACATCATTAGGTTGAACATCATTTTGTTTTTTTTTCGTTTGCTCATAAGGTTGAACATCATTTTGTTTTTTTTTCGTTTGCACATTAGGTTGAACATCATTTTGTTGTTTTTTTGTTTGCTCATTAAGTTGAACATCATTTTGTTTTTTTTTGACATCATAAGACGACATATCTCTTGGTTTTTTGACTTTTTTATAAGGCTTACGATTTTTATTTAGATATCTCGTATAATCTTTGCGTTTTTTCAATACTTGCCTCAAATACGAAGCTTGCATTTCATCTTTATCAGATAAATTCTCTAACAATTTAACACATTTCGATGTTAATTTCGTCGAACAATGATTTAATTCATCGTTGAAATAAGATTCATCTGGGCATTTGTGCTTTTTCCCAATGGAAAATTTAACATCGGAATCACACGTGTAATAATATTTGCAATCGTAGGGATCAGAAAATGCTCCCGATTCTGGACAGATAAATTTATCATTATATTCGTAATTTTTCCGTACGTCTTCCAATAATATCAATTCGAAATTCGACAAACAAGTTTTTGTCACATCTGAAAATGTTTTGTTTTCCGAACAAGCCATTATGTTTCCACGTATGAAGTGTGAACCCTTTGGTATAAAACATTTCTGATACAAAGCATTGTTTTCTTGAATACCATAAACTCCTACCGAAGAACATTCGATTGGTAAATGATTTGGTTTTTTACAATTTTTTTCTTCTATTGTATTACATGGTTTACCTAAAATTTTAATTGTAATTGTTATTTTCTGTATTTTTATTTCAAAAAATGTTACATTGAATGCTATAAAACCATTAATGTCTTACTTACTATTGAAACATGGAGGATAATCTGATAGAGTGCAAAGTGGTTCATCATTGCACATAAAGCAATTGTAAAATGAATTTTCACTGTCTACCATTCTTGGAACCTAAATGAAAAGCAAATCAATTTTATTATTAATATTATTAAAAACATTTTATTGAAAGTAATAATTCTAATTTGAACACTGATTAATAAGCCATGAGAGAGAGAGAGAGAGTAATAGTTATTAGTTTCATAAGGGTATTAATAATAATAATTGTTTTCTTTCATTACAAAAAAAGAATGAATATGATTTCAAAAAGGATTTGATGCAAAATTTAATGTGGAAAAATTTTTTTTCTTTTTTTTTTTAAATGAAAAATTATTATGACTTACTTTGTATCCTTCAGGATCATATCTTGTAACAAGAGAATGAGAATTGATTTCAGTGTTGTTATTTGTAGGTTCTGTTACTGTTTCATCATTTGATACATTTTCATTTTCATCTTCATCTTCATCTTCATCTTCATTTTCCTTTTCAGTTTCCTTTTCAGCTTCCTTTCCAGTGTCTTTTTCCTTTTCCTTTTCATTTACCCCTTCAGTTTCTTTTTCCCCTCCTTCATTTTCTTCTTCCTCATCATTTTCTTTTTCTTCTCCTTCACTTTCCGAACTCGATCTTAATTTAGATTCCAATCCTAATGCGGATTTAACTTCGTGTTCCAAATAATGACGTTTGTTAACTTCTAAATATTCAAGGGAATCCCCGAGTGGTCGGTCATTAATGAGTCCATTAATTTCCATTTCAGCACCGTAAATATTTCTTTCAATATATTTGTCATATTCTATTATAATTCTCGTTATTATTTCAGCCAATGCGGTTCTCTCGTGTGATAAAGCATTTAAAAATTTCATAACGGAACGATTTATGTGTTCACTCGCATTACGTAAAACGGATTCGTTAGGATTTTCCAATTCCGTTTTTATATTCGTTAAAAGATTAAATATTTCCGCATCGATATTTTTTTCGATTTTATTAACCGCGGATTCGAATCTATCCGTTACGTTAAAACTACGCATTTGTTTTTTAAGAGTTTTTATTTCACCGATAATACGATTTTTAGTATACTGATCCAAATTTGTGAGAGAATTTAAATATTTAACGTTACGAGATTCGAAAAGGTTGACTTTGTGTGCGTACAATCGAGTTTCGTTGTCGTAATGACGAGTTATTAAAAAGTTTTCTTTTCTAAGCTGCGAGAAAACCTGTCTTAGAAAACATTCCAATGAGTAAACAACGGGTAAAACGTTAAACGTTTTCGATTGCAAATCATATGAAATTGTCATGTTTGTCATTAGGGTGTCTTTGAGAAAAGCATCAGACACGGAATTGAAATTATATTGAAGTATGATTGTCATGTCGGTATTGTTATTCATGACTTGATTTTTATTAAAATTAATTAGAGAATTAATTTCGTCGTTACCTTTCATCATAATATTCGATATAATCTGTTCGAAGTAATTTTTTTCATTCAGAGTCGAATTTATCAATTCCAATCTACTGTTGGACATTTCTTTTATGTAATTCGATACATATTGGTAAATTGAATTTTTCAAATATTCCAAAGTGTTCTTGAAAGGTTTATTCAGAGTCGAGACAATTTTCGACAAAGTGTTCGTTTGTAATTCGTTAATTTTTTTCTCAGTATTCAAAACGATCAATTTAAAATTGTTTTTCGTTTGTTTTTCGTATCTATCCTTTAACGTTTTCATTGTTTCGATGATTTTAAATATTTCATTTCTCGATTGGGGATCTAAAAAGTGTAGGCCGTCAATGTATTTAACAGTATCATTCAAATAAATATCCGTTCTTACGACCAAACTCGATAATTGACTCAAATAATGTTTCAAAACTTCCGAATATTCAATTTTCATTCTGTGAGCAATGTCGTTTATGAATTTTTGCAAAGTTCCAGAAATGGGTTTTATAAAATATTCGTTTATTTTCGAATCGTATTTAATCGTGAAACTCACGGTGAATAAATTATTATATTTATTGAAATCGGAAAACGTGTTGAAATCATATTTGAAAGTGATGACGGAAGTTTCGGTGAAACGAGATTTAGGTTTTTTTTTCTCATCCAATTTCAATACTTTTATCTCGTATTCGACGTTTCTTATGTACAAATTAATTTCGTTGTGGAAATCTCTCATGTAATTCAAAAATTTATTCATTATAGAGTGTCTCTCTTCGGACACTCTCACCATGAAATCATCCATTTTTTTATATATGTAATTTTTATTCACATCCAAACTACTGTGAGCGTTTGAATTTTTCAAATGAGCCGTTAAATTTTTCAACAAATCGATTCTGAAACTGTCGAGAATTTCCATTTGTAATATCATAGCTATTTTAAATTTGCTTTTGACTTCCTTTCTATATTTCTTTAAATTTTTCTCGGCTTTGGTTAAAAAGTTCTTTATTTTGTTCCGGGTTTTTTTTTCAAAATCCCCATGATGACTCCTTTTGACAATGAGCAAAACTTTTTTTTTACTCAAAAACACTTTCAAATCGTATATATTTCTCACTTTCAAATATTTTTCCAATTTTCTACTTTCGTTATATATGCTGTCGGTCGTGTTGAGCAAAAAGGTATTGAGATCATCCATGACATCGATTTCTGATCTGTTTTTATTATCACGAACAATCGATATGTTGGTCGCGAACACGAATTCGTCTGAATAATTCGTTATTTTTTTAAATATGTAATTGAATATGAGAACGTCGGATTCGGTTATTTCCGATATGATGTTGGTGTTTTTAACGACGATGTAATGGATTTTATTTTCCGTTATGGCTTGCAAGAAAACGATATTATTTTTAAAGTGACTGTTTAAATTCACGGCGTGTTTTTCAAATGAATTTTTCTCTTTGGTTATTTCCGAAAAAAACGATTTGACGGAATCGATTATGAATTTTGTTATGTCCTCGATGTCGTGCTTATCGGGATTGTTCAAAACTTTTGCTATCTTACTATTTAATATATTTTTCAGAGCAATGATTTTTTTCAACGTTTCGATTTCTTGTTTAGAATAATCGAAATGTATTTGCAATTGATTTTTATTCACCGCGAGTTTGTAATTGTCTAATATTTTAACAATTAATTTCATTAAATCTTTATCCATGTGATTGGACTCGATGTTTTTCAATGCTTTGTCCGTGTATGCCAACGCCTTGGCCGTAACGATACCTATTTCCGTTTTATAATATTTGACCAACCCGAGGATTTCCAATCTCAAATTGGCAATTATGTTATTTAAAAAGTCGTCGAGATTATTCAAAAACGTTTCAACGGAATATTGTTTTTTATTAGTGTTGTACACGATTGTTAATTTAATAGAAAATGAATGGATTTTACTGGAATTTAAAAACGAATTGAAATCGTAGCTTAAATTAATGTCGGATTTTTGTTCGACGTTTAAATTAATACCCGTCGTACTTTCGATGAGTATGTAATTTATGTCCGAACTCATGTCGAATAATTCTTCTTTTACGCTCTTGATGAATCTTCCAGCGATTTTCATTATTTTATTCAAAGCTTTAAATCTCGCTTTGGATATTTTACTCAGCGAATTTGTCACGGAAATGCTTATGTAACTCGATGTCGTTTTAAAATTGACTTCCGTGTTTCTGTTTAAAAACAAATTTATGTTATTCATCAAATCTTCTTTGAATTTATTCATGTCTGTTATTATCTGTTCCAAATCCGTTTTGAATTTTTTCTCCAGCGCCGCGTGATTTTTTTTTATTTTCGCTTTTGACGTGTTCAATATATTTTTAATTTCATCTATGTTCGCGGGTTTCAAATAATTATGAATGCTTATATTTTTCAATATTTCCTCTTCGAATTTCGTCAGGGATTCGATCGTGTTACGAACGTCCAAAATGGAATTTTCAACGATTTTTTCATTTTCCCTTTTCATTATGTCGAATATTTTATCGAAAAACAAATTGAGTTCGTCTAGGACGATTTTACTAGAGTATTGATTTTTATCGAAATCGTATGCTAGGGTTATATTCGTGGAAAACGGGTAAGTGACACCGTGGTTCAATATGGACGTAAAGTGGTACATGAGTGCCAGAGAACCCGATTCCGTCGAACTCGCATCGTATTTCGTATATTCGGATATGACCAAATTGATTTTTTGATTTGCCACGTTCAATAAAACGTTTGCTTTTTCGTAGAAAACGAATTCTGCTCCCATGGCGTTGGCAACCAAATCTCTTACTTTGGTTATCTGTTTCAAAAATTTACTCACGGAATTTGTCAGGTCTATAACTTTCGAATGCAAGTTGGATTCCGTCGTGTTACTCAAAATCAATTTGATTTTATTTTCCAGATTTTTCGCACCGTTTTCAATCGAATTTATTATATTATCCGTCGTGTTTTTAAATTTTGTCACAATATCTTTTTTAAGTAATTTCATTTTAATTCTCAGAGTGTTCCAGTGCACCGTTATCCTCTCTTTGGCGTGTTCGTCCAAGTGTGCTGCAGAAGTGATGTTTTTAATCGCTTTCGATCCTTTTTCATTCAAATCATTCAAATATTCTTCGAAGTTGAGTGTGAGATATTTCAACACTTTATCGTTTTCATCTTTCTGATGATTTAATATTTCGCCGAAAAATTTTTGCAATGATTTAATGACGGATTCGGTCGTTTGAACTTTGTTTTTCGAATCGAACAAAATGGTTATGCTCGTTTCGAACGTTTTCTTTTTCGAAGGATTCAATATGGCGTTGATTTGATATACGAAATCAATGGTTTGTTCTAGAGTATCCGAATCCGATGAGCCAGGAGTGTTGTTTTTATCGTGAAACGACACGAGCAACGGATACAGATTCGTCGCATTTTTTTTTTCATCTCGAGAAAAAATCATGTCGAGTTTTTCTCTCAGACTCTGATCGTGCCATCTTTGACGTTTGGTCAAATCGTTTACGAGAGAATCGAAATTAGTCGCGAACCTTCTTCCGCTCAATACTCTTCGTGCTCTCGCTTTGATTTCGTTAACTCTTTCGTTATAAGCTAATCCTTCGACTAATTTCAAATTGTATTCGAAATTTAATTGATCCACGCAATGCGGTTCCAAATAAGCCATGCATTGTTTTTCCCACGCGTTGAAAAACAATCCTTTCGGACATTCGAAAAGGACTCCGATAGATAATGGGGAATTGGAATCGCAAGCGTAATAATTTCTGCAATTATTTGGATCCGGATACAAACCCTTTCCAGAACATAAAAATTTTTTTACTCTCCGCCGTAAAGTTCTTATTTCGCTTTGAAATAAATTAATGTCTTCTTGCGTTGCGCAAGACATCAATTCTTGATTATAGATTTCATTTTCGGGACAACTTACAGTTTTATAATTGAGCACTTCCGTCTCCGGATTTAACTCACATTGAATGTACTTATCGACCATGGACCAATGAGGAAATTTTCCAACGCTTCTACAGCGACTTTTTAAATTTAAATGAGTGTTGTAACATATTTGTATTTCCTCATCCGTGCACGGAGTTCCTAAAAAAAAAATTGAAATTAATAGGAAAAAATATAAATTTTTCTTTTTAACTTTTTCACAACTTTTTTTTTGTTTGTTTTGTTTGTTTTACCTGCTTTACAGTTAACTACTTCCGATTCTGTACATTGAACCGTGCCATTGCAAACAACACAATTTGAAAATTTCTCACTGTTTTCCAATCCGTGCCCAAATAATACCTAAAAAAAAAAAAAAAAAAAAAAAAAATTCAATACCTTTTCTAAATCTACACGAATTTGTTTTTGAATGTTTTTATTTTTTTACTCGGAAAATTTAATCAAAAAAAAAAGAAAAGAAAAGAAAAGAAAAGAAAACTGTGATAAGGGGGAAAAACTATTTATCTTATTTTGCACTTACCAAATTGAATAAAAACACGAAAAACGCGCATAAGTGCATTCTTGACATGTTTAACATTAAAACTGTTTAAAATTCATTTCAATATTATTTTATATCAAAATCATTAACATAAAAAAATTTTTTTGTTTTTTTTTTTTTTTTTTTTTTTTCAAAAAGAAAATTAATTAATATAAAATTTTATTACCTGTTAAAAATTTTAATTGATTTTAAGGTGTTTATTAATAAAAACCTTATCGACATTTTCGGTTCTTAATTTAATATTTCATTATTTTTTTTCAAAACCGATATTTGATAATTGCAATAATAATAATAATACATTTTAATTAATTTTAAAACGTAAACTTTACAAAAAAAAAAAATTAATTCGACTATCGATTCATTGATTGATTCTGTAAAAATTATCATCATCATTATTATTATTATTATTATTTTTTATCGAGGACAAAACCTTGTCGAATGCAATAAATAACAATACGTAAACGAATTGAATGTTGTCAAAGGATTTGTTTTTATCCGTTAAGGTACGATTTAGAATTATCGAATTTGTTCGTTCCCACGATAACAACAAAAAATTTTTTTTTTTTTCTTTAAATTAAATTGAGGAAAAACGGAAAAAAAGATTTTCTTTGTTTTTCCGGTTCGCTTAATATTAAATTCGTGATGACGTTTTGACGATTACCACTTTACTGATCATAAAAAAAAAAAAAATAACATTAACAATATTGGTAAAATAATAAATTTAAATGATGGGGAAAAAACAACGTTTTTTATTGCTTATTTATTATAATAATAATAATGATGATGATGATGATGATGATAATAATAATAGTAATTTGTATTAGTAATTAATAAGACAAGTTCAATGTAAACGGTTTTCATTTGTTGGAAATTTTTTTTTAAAGAAGAGTTTTCATGAGTTGTTTTGCAGTTTTGCTGTTTTTTTTTTTAAATAAAAAGAAAAGAAAATTTCAGTAGTTGATTTGATATTATAATGGGGATGGAAAACATATATATTTTGGAAAATTCTCTGGAAAATGCAGAAATTTCATTATTTTTGGATAGGTTTGAAACAAACAAAAAAAACAATCCTTTGATTTTTCACAGCCATTTTTATTTTTTATTTTTTTTTTTGTGATTTTTATTGTCATGAAAAATAAAATTTCGTTATGTTTTCATAATCGTGTAAAAAAGTTTTTAGTTTGATTTTGTTTTTTTTTTTTTATTTACAGATTGATCTGATGGTCTTCTTCTTCTTCCGTTGTCGTCTTCGTCGTCGCCATTTTTGCATTTTTCAAGGTAGTAATAATAATTTAAATTTTCTTCTTTTAAACTCTCTTATTTATTGCCTGAGAAAATTTTTAAATTAACGTGCATATTGTGGATTAGGATTAATTAGGATTAGGATTAGGATTATATTAGTTAGGATTATTGTGGGTTAGTTTACAAACTTAATCGAACAATTTTTTTTTTTTTTAAATTTAAAATTCTATCAATTTGTCGTGGATTTATTTTCCAACACTCAACAATAACAACCTGTAAATAAAAATTCTAATATTCGTAATAATTTAAATTCGAAAAAAAAAATTATTATTATTATTATTATTATTAATTATTTTATTCACATTTATCGAATGATGATCGTTACATATAATCAAATCCTCGTGATCGCGTTTTTACATAATTATTATTATTATTATTATTCCGAAAATAACAGAAAAACGTATTTAATTTTTTACCCCGGAAAAAATTATTATTATTTAATTACTTTAAATTTTATTTAAATTTTATTTTTAATTATTTATTATTTATTTTAAATTTTACTCGAAAAATTATTAATATATATATATATTCAATTAACTTAACCCGAAAAACTAATAATAATAATAAAGTAAAAAACAATTTTTACGGTAAATGAACGAAAAAAAAAAATTTTTTTTTTTTTTATTACCTATAAATAATTACAATCGTATTCGTTTTAATTTAAAAAAAAAAAAAAAAATTTTTTTTTTTTAATAGTCAAATTAAAAATCGAATTTTTATTATTTAATTAATTTTTTAATAATAATAAAAGAAAAAAAAAAAAACGAAAAAATGAATGAGGAAAATTATTAATTTTACGGCTCGTTACCAACAATCATTGATATACTCGTTTGTATTTTTTTTTTTTTTTTTTTTTTTTTTAATATCGATTAATTAATGATTTCGTTCGAGATTTTTCCCAGATTTCCCTTAAACTAAAAAAAAATTAGGCAAAAAATTAAATTTTTTTTTTTCGTGTGGTTAATTCAAACGTGGGATTACACGTGTCGTTGTGGGATAACACGTGAGGTTAATTTTCCGAACGTTTTCCGTTTTGTTCATTTATTATTATTTTAAATCACCAAAATATGGACGATTAAAACGAATCATTCGATAATATAAACCTAAATTATTAAATTCGAGTTAGATTTAATTGAATACACATTCATTCATTCATTCATTCATTAATTCATTCTTTCATTCATTAATTCATTCATTCACACGCGGTTAATAAGTAAATAAATTAAACAAGTTTTTTGTAATGTATACAAAATTAATCATGATTTTATTTTTTTTAATTTTTTTTATTATAAAAAAAGAGGATAAAACAATCATAACAATCCAAAAAAAAATAAAAAATAAAAATTACTAAAAATCTAAAATACATATTATTATCATTATTATTATTATTATTATCAATTAACTCGTTATACGAAATCATTCGAATATTTAAAAAAAAAAAAAAAAAAAAAATTAATTATAAAAAGCGTAGTAAAAATCAATAAATTAACAAATTCGTAATCATCATTAATCAATGATTTTGATAATACAAAAAAAAAACAAACAAAATTTTTTTTTAGACATTACACACACACGGTTAAGCATGTTTTTTTTTTTTTTTTTTTTTCGTTTCTTATCATTATTATTATTATTATTATTTTTTTTTTTTTTAAATTTTTTTTATCAAATTTTATTATTCAAAATAGACCCGTAAATAATTCAAATTTTTTATGTAAAAAAATATTCAAAGATTGTTCTTATTTTTTTTTTCTTAATAAAAGACCACAAAGTAATATTATTATTATTATTATTGTTGTTGTTGTTGTTGTTATCATTATTATCAACGTTCGTTTAAATTGGTTTGTCAATATCAGGGAGTCGATAGTGTATTATTTCAAATGGGGGATGAATTAAATCGTCATCTCTTACACCGCTCGAACCTCTTCCTCGTCTCCTTTGCGGTAATATACCTCTTCTAGCCATGTAAAATCTGGAAAAAAAAAATTTTTTTTTTAAAATCAAACTTTGTAGGTTTTGAGGTTGAAAACAAAAACAGAAAAAAAAGTTTTCGTACCTAATTGTAGAAATGGGAATGTTAAAAGTATCGGATGCCGTTTGAAAAGTCATACCTCCTCGTACCATTTCCGCAGCTTTTTGTAACTCTTCTTCCGACCTTCTTATTCTATTAAAAACATCTTTTTTAATGGCCTTGCTTTTAGAATCGATTGGTGATCTCTGATCGTGAGAAATCGTTGAAGTCGCCTGGAAAATGTAATGAAATCTCTCTCTATCTCTCTCTTACTCTCTCTCTCGTGCAAAAAATATGATTTTTATTTATTCATACCTGAATCATTTGTTTCGAATCGTTTTTTTGCTGTAAGTGATTTCCTCCTAATTTTAAATTAGAATTTTTATTTTTCTGATTGTCACCCGTGTTTAATATTGTTCCGCCATTTGTCATTTCAATTTTATTATTGTATATCGTTTCATCCATCGGCGGATTCGTGTAATTGTGTTCCTGAAGTCTTTGCTGCGTTTTCAATGCGTTTTTATTCATCATGTCCGTATTTCCCGTTTTGACTTTTTCTTGGTCCATAACGCATTCGACGTGATTTAATGCTAGCGAACATAAATCTGGAAAAAAAATAATGAAAAATGAAAGTTTTCCTTTTTTTTTTCGCTTACATTTGAACGTTAAATTTTGTTTGTTCAGAAATTGTGATAAATAAACCACGACAGAAAGGAATTTTCTTAAAATAGTTTATTTATTTTTCATAATAAATATATAATAAAAAAAAAATTGTTAAATCGAATCATTAAATTTTTATTTCTTTTTCTCTCTTTTTTTTTTTGTTTTTTTTTTCAAATCGAAATAACTCATTATGTTGTATTTTTTCATCCAATTTCTAAGTGTTTTCCTTGGTACGCCATATTCCAAAGATGCTCTGTAAACGCTTAAACCCTCTTGTATTTTTTCCAATGCTCCCCACATGCTCGCCATAGTGTACTGTTTGTAACAATTTCTTCGAACTGAATTTTTTTTCAATTTTATTTCTTTTCTTTCCCCTGACGTCACATCCGTTTTCGTTTCCAAAACATTTTTGACGGGGGGTTCATCGAATCTCATCGTCGCATAAAAATTTCCGATTGATTTTTTATCACGCCCGCAGCACTTCGGTTCTGAAACAATAATAATAATAATAATAATAATAATAATGATAATGATAATTTTCGTTAGGTAATTAAATGAGTTGATGAGTAAAAAAAATTATTTTTCTTGCATGCAAAAAAAAAAAAAAAAAAAAAAAAAAAAAAAAAAAAAAAGCTAAAAAATTTGTGTTGCGACCTGTGACGCACGTAATTAATTAATAAATAAATATTATCATTAATTTAAGATTTTTATAAAATTAAATTAGAAAAAAAAATTCCGTTATTTTAAAATTTTTTGCCGCCCAAAATGAACGAATCGAATTTTTTTTTTTTTTTTTTCAAACTCGACGAGATATAATTATGAAAAATTCGTTTTTCAAAACTTTAGAAATAATAATTATTTATTACTCTATGAAAACACGAGGCGAACAACAAATTTTTACGTTTCAATCAATCAATCGATCAATCAATCATTTCCGGTCGGTTATCGAAATTAACGTACCTGATGATATTTGATTCTTTTTTTTTTTTTTTTTTTTTTTTTTTTTTACTTTTTTAATCGTTAAGACAAAATCGAAGAAACATAAAAACAAAAATCCTCATCTGTAAAAAAAACAAAAAAGAAAAACAAATGGATAAATAAATAAATAAACAAATAATAAAAATGGGGTAATAATAATAATAATAATAATAATAATAATAATAATAATAATAATTAAAAAAAAAAAAAGTAAAATTAAATAAATTAAATAAAAGAAACGTTTTAAGAAAGGCGGGAAAACATATATTTAAAATTTTTTTCATTGACATGCATTTAAATCGGGTAAGAATACTAAAAATTTAAAGAAATGCAATAGGGATAATAATAATAATAATAATAAAAATCCCCTTCGTATATTAAAAATATGAAATCGAAAAAAAAAAAAAAAAAAAAAAACTTGTATCCACAACAGTCGAAATCGATAGGTAACGGCGTTCGTCCTTTTTTTTTTTTTTTTTTTACCTTAATTTTATTTTCGACCTCAACCTATTGTTCTTATTTCCTTTCCTTTTTCCTCCTCCTCCTCCTTCTACTCCTCCCCCCCTTAAGCCGTGAGAAATTTTTAAAAAAAATTTTCTCTATATATTCGGAACGAAACCTAAAATGAAATGAATTTTTTTTTTTTTTTTGTTCAATTTATAAACAATTTTTTTTTTTTTTTAAATATATATATATTTCATGCAAAAAGAAAAAGACTAAAGAAAGGGGTGGTGGTTGAAGGGAGGGAGGAGGAGGTGGTGGTGGTGGTGGTCGTGGAATAGGCGGAAAAACATTTAAAACAATTAAATTTGATACAAAAATGAAAACTACACGACTACAAAATAGATAAAAATAGTAAAAAATTACAATAAATCAATAAATCAATCAATCAATCAATCGATCAATCGATAAGTGTGCACACAACTAAAACTACAACAAAAAGTAAATCAAGATTTTTTTTTTTTTTTAAAGCAGAAGAAAAAATTTAATTTAAAATGATAATTTGACAATTCTCAATTTTTTCAAAAAAAAAAAAAAAAAAAAGTGGTGCTCAAGAAATAATGCAAAACCTTAAAACAAACGACGACGACAACAACAACATAACATAATAATAATAATAATAATTTTTTAAACCGTTTTGTGCATTTAATAAAAGGCAAACAAACATGCAACAACAACAACAACAACCAATCAATCAATCAATCAATAAATCAATCGAAAATTCTCTAATTATAATTAATTTACTTTAAAATTTTTTTTTCTTACTATGATGATGATGATGATGATGAGTAC